AAGGGCAGGGTCCACAGAAGTTTTTATCTGGAACTTAGTATCTTTTAGGCATCTGGTTCTCTACTAAATTTGGCTGAAATTGGTCAGTGAATTCAAGCATAACAGTGGGAGGAAAGTGTGAAAATACACAGCTTCATATGAGCCTCACTTTCATAAGCAGATAGACTAAAATTACATACAATATGATGTTTTACCAGACAGTTCTACAGTCAAAATAATCAAAAATGAAACTTCCAGAAAAACAAACAAACAAAAAAAACCTTAAATAATCTGTGGTAGCAGTGTAAGAAAACAATTAGTTATCTTCTACTGACTCAATGCAAGTATGTTAAGTTTTGCTTCACTTCCAAAATCTGTATTACTGATTGCTTGCAGAATATTTATTTTTTTCCCCTCCTTTGTACCTGAATTTGAAATCTTCCCATTGTCAGCTGTTCCTGCATTTCCTGGAGCGACAAACACTTGTTTTACATGTGGGGACTGGGCCAGTTTCCAGGCCAGAGCATGTTCTCTCCCTCCGCTGCCGATCACGAGCACCCGATCAGCCATGAGCCTGTGTGAACCAAGAATCGTTACACACAGCATATTCATTTATTTAATGGGAAAAAAACAAAAAAGCCAAAACAGAGAAATGACATCTCTCTCAGCCACTTACAGCTGGTAAGTAATCTCAACCCAGCTCTTATTAGAAAGATACACACATCCATGAGAAGAAAAGTGAAGGCAGAACAAGCACCACCAGGCAGACAGAGCATTCACATTCTGCATTACACAGGGACCGCAATGAAATCACTGGGGAATTTTCTACTTGTTCCAGCACAGTCAAGATTTCCTTTCTTAAGTAAACAGGCTGACATAACCTTATTTTGTCAAGTTCTCATCCAGTCAAGTTCTCACCCAGTCCTTCACACAGCTACTACTATTAGGGCAGGACAGAGATTTACATGCAAATACTCCAGGTAACTCATCAGAAAAGACTATTGCAAACTGAAGACTGTGGTCAATCTGGGAACTTGTTTGAGTATGCCCAGTATTAGATTGAAAAAAGATTTTCAAAACAACAGATTTTAAACTTTGACAATTGCTAAGGGGGAAAATGCAGCAGAACAGCATGCTCAATAAAAGAACAACTGCTAATTTTAGTGGCACACTGACATTTTAAACCGTTCTTCAATCATACTTCTAGGCGAATTATTTTGATTTATTTCAGAAACATTATCATACCCAGTGCAGTTCATGTCTGCAAACTTAATTTTTCAGTACGTGCTGAATGGGGACAAATGTCAGAAAGAAAAATGATCTCGGAAGGTGACCTTTAACGAAGATGTGAATGGTATAAACCAATCCTGACCCAGGAAACACAAAATGAATTAAAGATATCATAAAACGTCAGCTGGCCACAGGCCACCAGCCGTTTTTCAAGAAACTGAACTGTTGGTATGAGCTCACTATATAGCTTCAAAAGAAAAAGAGAAGCTGAACGTGGGACACCGACATACAGTATTTTAAAAAGGATGTTAACAGAACTGTGATATATAAGTAATTACATTTTTAGTTCCTGAAACAGTATTCAAATGTCTTAAACTATTATCACCAAAATTAAGTGTGATTACATATATTTTCATAATTATTAAATTGTCCAAGTATGATCTGAATATTTAGGTAATGCAGTACAGCCTGCATTGGTTATCTAATAGATTAGTCTTACAGAAATTTTAGGTTTTAGGTATTATGTTTTATGTGCATAAATTGCAAGATTGATTTCTTTATGACTTTTCAGAATTCTTTTTTTTTCTTTTTCCTTTAAACTGTGTAACTGTCTTATATGTCAGCCTGTGCCTTCTTTTCTCTGACTGCCAGACCAGGAGTTTTGGATGAGCACAGTCACCGTGACCAATCCTTGTACGTGCTATATATCTGAAGAAGACATTAAGATGCTCACTCCAAAGCTCTGGTAGGCACTACGATCAAATCGTTATTAATAATAAGCTACAAGATTTTAAAAGTAAAGCAACTTTTTCCTTTATGCGCTCAGTTTTCAGCCTCTCCACAGGTAACCTCACAATTCCCCGAAGTTTTCCACAGCAGAATAAATCCTGAGCGAAAGCAGAGCGAAACAGAGCAGAGGCTCCTGCCCCTTGGGAATAAATGCAAGTTTCCGTGCCACCCCCTCGCGGAGTCCAGAACCGGCATTTTCTGTGAAGCTGGATGGAGAGCAAGCAGGCAGGAGGGATAGTGCTGGGGGAAGGCTGGAGAGCGGCACGTCTCACCTGGCGCGTCCTCCCTCGCCGTGCTGGGCAGCCCTGCTCACGCCAAGGGACGCTCCGGCCCCGCGTGCCTGGGACGTGCTGCTCCTGCCGCACGCTGAGCACCGCCGACCGCCTGGGGCCAGCGACACGCAGCAGCGGGCAGAGCCCGCGATGCCCCTTTTATCCTCGCACCCACAGAGCTGACCTCCCCGAAGATGCGGGCGGCGCAAATCATTCCCTCCTTGCGCTTCGGCTTAGCTAACGACAAAAGTAACACCCCCACACACACACGTCGATTTTGAACGCTTCTAAAAGCAATTTCCATTAGAATAAAACATGGTCTGCAGCTAAATAGAAATACTCCAGTTAAAATCCACACACCGAACCTCCATAAGCCTATTCTCTGTAATAGAATAAGCCTTGGATTGGCTTTTAAAGACTATTTTAATACCAGCTCTGAAGGGAAATTTAATAAAGAAGCAACAAAAGTGTAAGGTATACAATGAGCTTTATTTTATTCTCCATTGATTCCTGCACCATCCTCTTCAACATCCGAGAGCTCATAAGATGGCAAGCGTCACTGGGCAAACACTTGACAAGCTCGTGGCACTACCACTCGGTTCTGTGGACAGAATCAATGCGTGCCAGTGTAGAACTGAGCAGTACGTGTCTTTTAAGTTTAATCACCAGGACTGCATTCTGCCAAGGGTGTATTAGCCAAAGCTACTGGGGTATAATGTGAGCCTTAAAATGAACTGCCCTGTATGTATCTTCCTCACAGACTTTGACACCACCACTTCACTGGCTGGATCTGTAACCTGCTAAGCCTTAGCCCCATCACATACAGTTAATAAAAACGACTTATAAACAAATAATAGTGTTGAGGGAGGAAGATGCTATGATTCGGTTCCAGGCCACGCAGCTAGGCAGCCATTTCCGCGCCCAAGGACTCGGCCTGTTTCTCCCTTTGGAGTTTCTTTCACGGGAGAAGAGCTCCCCTCACAGCCAGCAGAGATTATAGGTAGAAGCCCCCTGCCAAGGGAAGGGCACTGCCAAGGGCAAGCACCCGCCACTATCACCACCACGGGGAAGCTGCTCCACCCGCCCAGTAACGAGGAATTAGCTCAGGAGAGGCAAGGTTAAAAACCAGGTCATGTTCTACAAATGTAAGTGCATAAAAGAAAACACAG